GGGATTGAGTGAGCCCTCAGCAAGTTTGCCAATGACACCAAGCTGTGTGGTTCAGCTGATACACTGGAGGGAAGGAATGCCATCCAGAGGGACCTTGACACACTTGTGAGGTGGGCTGATGCCAACCTTATGAAGTTTAACCATGACAAGTGCAAGGTCCTACACCTGGGTCGGAGCAATCCCAGGCACAGCTACAGGTTGGGCAGAGAAGAGATTCAGAGCAGCCCTGCGGAGAAGGACTTGGGGGTGTTGGTCGATGAGAAAATGAACATGGGTTGGCAGTGTGTACTTGCAGCCCAGAAAGCCAAAAGTATCCTGGGCTGCATCAAAAGGAGCATGACCAGCAGGTCGAAGGAGGTGATCCTGCCCCTCTACTCTGCTCTTGTGAGACCTCACCTGGAGTATTGTGTGCAGTTCTGGTGTCCTCAACATAAAAAGGACATGGAACTGTTGGAACAAGTCCAGAGGAGGCCATGAGGATGATCAGGGGACTGGAGCACCTCCCATATGAAGACAGGCTGAGAAAGTTGGGGCTGTTCAGCCTGGAGAAGGGAAGGCTGCGTGGAGACCTCATAACAGCCTTCCAGTATCTGAAGGGGGGCTATAAGGATGGTGGGGAGGGACTCTTCATCAGGGACTGTAGTGACAGGACAAGGGGTAATGGGTTCAAACTTAAACAGGGGAAGTTTAGATTGGATATAAGGAAAATGTTCTTTACTGTAAGGGTGGTGAGGCACTGGAATGGGTTGCCCAGGCAGGTTGTGAATGCTCCATCCCTGGCTGTGCTCAAGGCCAGGCTGGACAGAGCCTTGGGTGACATGGTTTAGTGTGAGGTGTCCTTGCCCATGTCTGGGGGGTTGGAACTGCATAATCTTGAGATCCTTTCCAACCCTAACTATTTTATGATTTTATGATTCTACGCCTATCTACAATAGCACATTTATCAACAGGGAGGGCCATGACAGAGAGAAACCATCCCTACTGCACAGTGCATAACACATTTGGGAATCCTTTCTAATAAAAGGGGATTTGATTAAGACCAGCCAAGTACCACAGATCAGCAACTGAACCAGCAGTAAAGAAGGAAGAGTAGCTTAGACTTAAGAGACTTCAATTTGCTGAGCTACCAGGAACTTTTCAGGAGAAGCTACCCCATAAGTCACTCCATGCCCTACAGGAGGGTAGGAAGGGACATACACCAAAAATCAGGGTGCGTAGACTTAGTTTGGTAATGTGGCCTTACCACAAAACTCTAGTCAGGCAGAATACCCAACAGGTATGTTTAACTCCTAAACATTCACAGTGGGTTTTTTGTTTTTTCTTTGTTTTTTGTTCTCATCATAATTATTATTACTATTATTATATTTATTGATATTTCCATGCTTAAGCACTGCCTTGCCAAAGGCCCCTAGAGGATTTGCCAGTGACTGGATCATGCTGCTGTGGTAAGTCCAAGCAACAAACATCTGCAAACTGTGATCTTGCTGCTCCAAAGTGTGTCTCCAGGATGCTGCTCCTTGCTCTTACCATGCATCCAGGCTTCCCGGGAACACAGTACAAACCATGCCATGCTGCCAGCTCTGTGTGCTTGCATGGGCTATCACTGGCTAGAAGAGTTCCCGGACTCTGAAACCACCATCAGTAATTTCCACCCAGGGAAGCCGGAGGGAGGTGCAGTGAGCACTTGATGGAAGTGCTGGCTGACCTGCTCCTGAACTCAGTTCACTTGGCGTCATGTTTTAACCCCAGTACACTTGGTCTGCCAGCAGTACCAGCTGGCATTTACAGGGCAAAGAGACAACTTCAGTGGCTCCTACTCCTCTTCCTTCCCTAGGAACCACAGCTGTGCCCACACTGACTCCAGAATCAAGATGGTTTGACTGAAAATCAGAGATATGGCAAGTGAAATTACACAAGGAAGATGGTTACAGGAAAGACCCCAGAGTGCTGGTGGGCCATGTAAAATGACCTTTCTCCAGCCTGACAGTGCAAATGTAATTATTCCAACAAATTATTTTCATGACTTCATATAGCGCCTTGCAGCTTTCTAGCAAGGTTAATTAGATTCCTCAATTCAAAACCTATCTGCTCTTAACCAGCTTTTAATATGCTGAAATCCAGTTTTCTAAATTCAAACTAATAAAAATGATTAGCTGACAGCTATCTGGTGTAGTACAATTACAATGGCATTTAGACCTCAGGCAGAAGATACTTAAAGCAAATCTGAGTCAATGTCTCTGCCCATTTGTTCTTTTTCTGTTTTTTTTGATCAATGTGCCATATGAATCTTGTACAATCCATGCTACCATGCTAAACAAATAAAGAACAAAGGCAGAGATATTGATTGAGACAGTTAACCAAAGTTGAAAGACACTTTTTTTTCCTTCCACACTTAATTTGTTCTTTCCATATGAGCATGAAGTTACTGAAAGGTACTAGCTGACAGCTCAACTGGATGGGTATTTAGCTCTGACATAGGCAGAATTAGTACAAAATTCCTGGCTGGCACTGCCATATCAAAAAACTGCATCCACTGTGATTCCAGAGACCATCTTCCCCTGGGAGTAGCTTGGGCTAGAGCAGACCTAGGAGGGTGAGGGCAGCCCACCTCTTTGATTTTATCCAACCATAAAAAGCAGTTGTGCTCCAGAACTGCTGGGTTTATGTTTTCTGTGGTAGGTATATAATTAGTTGTGGCCATGTCTCCCAAATGGCAGCACGGGGCACAGCATGCTTAGATTGCTGAGGAGGAGTTCAGCCCAACATGTTTCTTCAGCACATTAAGAATGCCAAGGCTGAACACCTCTTCAGAGATGACCTGCAGTGACATAGACTCAATGCAATTAGAAGATCAATCAGGTGCAGCTTGTAATTAAATATTACCTGCCCAAGGTAGGACTAGGCTTGCTGTTTGGTTTTCATCTTTCAGCTTGCATCATGCATGATTATTCTATCTTTGATCATGGTACCACTTATATACACAAAACTGGCAAAATTTTTGAATGCTCTGGAGCCTCATTTCCATTTTCTTGTCTCCTACTAAATTAAGAACTACTGGCATGGCACTGGTCTGACCTTCCATCAGATAGCCACATTGATGACCTAATGCTGATAGACTTTATGTCCCAACCCTTTAAGCTATGCATCCCTTTGGATTAAAAACTTTGATCTACCACACTCTAAAACAGAGCAGAACCATCTTAGAGATACAGTATTATTTTGTAAAACCTGAACATTTCAGCTCCACAAATACAAGTGCTAAACAGAACTAAAGCTTCACTGCAGGAAGCAATTTCTGAGCTGTGAGGAAAATTAATCACTAGAACATCTTATCAGGGTAGGTGGTTGACTCACCATTGCTTGAAGTCTTTAAAATGAGATTAGTATTTTTTTTTTTAGTCATGATTCAATCATGTTTCTAGCAGAAACTGAGAGTAGGACATTAGGCAGTATAATGGCAAGGTCCTTTCTGACCTTGGAGCCTGTGAATCTCCAAGTTCTTTGTTCACCTGCCTACTTTCTCAGGCTATGAGGAGAACTGGGTGGGTTTTGGTTCATCAACCAGCTCCTGCCACTCAGAGCTCTGCATTAAGAAAATGACTGTAAACAAACCTCATGCTTCAGGGCTTCAGCCATTTGTCTGAAAGAAATGGGGAAAAAGTTCCTCCCTCTTGTCCGCCCACACTAATGGCTAAATACCTGTCACATTTGTCTGGCTGTTACTTTGCTTTTAAAACACTGAAGTGTTAACACAAATGGACACAGGCAGAGATGAAGTCAAATGCAGCAGCACAGAAAATGCTCTCTGGTTAGCCTCTCTTCAGTCATTCTTGCTCACACCTCAGATCTGTGCTAGTCATCAACTCTGAAGACCATCAGCGTTTATAGACAAGATGTTTCATCTGTTAGGGTGGAGATGGTAGAAGGTAAGGTACTGATGGAGAATGAGGACTGATATCAACCCCATCTACAAGGGCAATGTTTGTTTGATGAGAATATCTTGAACTTCTCATGTAATCAGATGCGTGTTTATTAATGAAATCTTGGTCCCACCCACTTTCCAATTAAACGAAACCACAAAAGTTTCTTTAAGCCAGAAAAGTTTTGGTATAACCAAAATCTATTGCTAACAGACCTAGGGGACAATATTTTATTTTATTTTATTTTTCCCTGGAAATTATGAAGTAAAGGAAGACAAAGAACACAAAGGAATTGCCTACCCCAATCTTTAACTCTGCAAACTGTAGTAGTTTGTTTCCTTTGTTTCCTAACCACACTATCACTCAAGCCTGTAGGAAAATAAGCATACACACAAGATGAATCAAGTGTGCCCATGGCCCCTTGACTTTAATGTAGAGTTCACAGGCCATATCACCTGTGTTTTATATAAAGGAAAAATACATACTTAGACCTATAGATGCCTAATTCTGTTGTATACCACTTAAGAAGAAAATTTGCTTATCTTTTTTCCAGGCAAATAAGATAACATGGTTATAAGCCAATCATTTCAGATTTGTCTTCCAGGTACTTGTTAGACCCAGTTCTGGGCTAACAGGTCCTCATGTAAAACCAGACTGCTTGACTCAAAATGGATTTCCTTTTAATCTATGACAGCATACAGAAAGTGAAAATTGATGCCTTAGGAGCAGAACATATTTATACTGCCAGATTTTTTGCAGCTGCAATGAGAAGGGATAGGGCAGGTGGGCAAGACAGGATACCACACCTGAATTCAGCCTGGTAACCTGGGGACAGATGGTGTGAAACTGAACCAGACACTGAAAGATTCACTTCATAACCAGAAAAACTATAAACATACAGCAAGTGAGCATAAGATTTATGCTGGAATTACAGAGGAATTCCCATAGACGATTACACTTCCAGCCCAGGCATGGAAAGCAAATCCATCAATATGAATGCCACTACATCAACAGTTCAGCTGTCAGGCCTCTTTGCTACCAAACCTGGTAAATTCAGAAAGGGGCTATGGCACTGCTCACCAAAGTAGTCATCAGAAGGAGGATTCTCCATGTCATACAGCATTTTCTTGGTCAGATGCTCCAGCTCATCTTCAGGCCTGAAGACAGGAGTGCTTGATGCAGGTCCAGAGCTTGGGTACCCACTCTGAAAAAAAAAAGTACAGTCTGTGATGTGGTATAAAAGCATGGTACCAGGATCTATTGGCTGTTCAATACTGAACTTCATTCTTCGTCTTACTTTTGCTTTTTTTTTTTTTTTAAACTCAAGCAATTCATGCAAGTAAACATCTTGTTTAATGTAATGACAACTGACTTCTAAAAACATCCAGTGAAGTGCTATATGTACTCCTAGAATAAGAAGCATTCTGTGACTCATAATTAGATGTCTACTAGGTAGCACATAGTAATAAACAAAGGAGAAAATTATTCCAAGGATAACCTGATACAAACATTTTCCAACACTGAAAAAGCCTTTGGAAGCATTCCAGTTTGGATTTGGCAAAAGCTTCCATCACTTAACAACGTAATATAAAAAATTCTAGAACAATCATCACTACAGTGTTGGAGTATATGGACAAAGACAGATAATCCCAATCTGCTAGTTCTGTTCTCTTCTTGTTTCACAGAATCATAGAATCATAGAATAGTTAGGGTTGGAAAGGACTTTAACATCATCTAGTTCCAACCCCCCTGCTGTGGGCAGGGACACCTTATGCTAAATCATATCACCCAATACAAATCCTGCTGTTAACATTAGTGAGAGTGGGAGCTGGTCCACAGATTTTTAGTACTAGGGATACAAAGGTTTTAATATGTGCTTAGAAACTGAGACCTCTTGGCCTTCATATGCTAACAGCTGGCATACAGTGTTTACCGTCTGTCACAGTAAGCCTCCTCCCTGGAAAACAGCAGAAGTATGGGCATATTTTGAGAAGCACAGAAATAGTCTCATGCCTAGAAGTTTCTTAAATGAAGCTAAATTTGGTGTCCAGAATTAGAAAATCAGTCATTTAGAGATCAAAACATGCTGACATCAGCTTTCCATGTGTGCACTGCTTTCCTGAAAATTAACTTATGAAATGCAACATTTCAGTAAAGCAAGTGATTTCATTGATTAATTGCTGCCTTCAGCAATGACTGGACCTTAGGTATGAAATTTATAAGCCTTAGTCCACAAGGAAACATTTTCCCATGCTCCATACCTACTTAAATGGGAAGAAAATGTAAAGTTCCCAAGGAAACAATACACTGGCCACTTCTATCTGGCTTATAGGTACTACATCTGACATGATGAATCTTTATTGAGACAGTTATGTTCAACAGAGAATGGCATTTTTAAAGCACTGAAAGAGAATTAGCTAAATGCTTTTATACTTTCTTCTTTCAGGCAAGGAGATTTTCAAATAAGACATCAGTCAGTGTAGAGAAGGTCTCAGAATGGTGCTTAGCAATAATACTTCAATCATTTACTCCCAGAAACCAAACACTTGGATGTTCCTGACCTTGTCATATTTTTTTTTCTAGGGCCTATTCTAAACTGTACACCATCACCTCTGCACTTGCTGACCTGCTCTATCTCACAGGCGCTGCACCCATGAGTGCAGCAGATTACTATATCCCTTGGAAGTGCTGGATTTGCCATCCACACACAATACAGAAATTTCACCTGCTGCCTGCCCACCAACTGCTCTCTAAGAGTAGCAGCAGTGCACAAGGGAAATGGGTGGCCCAGTCCCTGGAAGAAAAGGCACCTGAAATAAGCTGTGGGCTGGATGAATTTCCCTGGAGGGCCGTGCGAGGTCTATTTGCAGTACATTCAACCTTCCTGATTGAGAATACAGATCAGACCTACCGTACATTCAGGTTTCCCCAGAGCTGTTTTCTTTTTCTGCTCAGTTTCTTTTTTTCTCCTCAGCAATAGTCAAGGATTTTGTGCATTTGTCCAGGATTTCTAAATGCCTAGTAGTTGTTCTGAGGAAGCTGTTGAACATCTGGAAATCCTGAATGTCAATACACAGCTCAGTAAACTCTACTGTACAAATGCAACCATGTTGATGTGTTTGGGTTACCACAACTTAGTTTTTCATGTGGGAAAACAAGCCTGCATGGTGCACAGGACTTGCATTTGCTTTCTATGTCATGTAAGTGCCATCTGTGTGGGATATATCATTTTGGTGAGGATAAGGCCATTCGTATGACTAGGAGTTTCAGAGCCAGGTACTTGACCCAGCACACCCAGACACCCTTGGCAAGTGCTTAGTGGCTCTTTTTAGAAGGCTAGTTGACTACTATTTCATTAGAAATAATAAATACCATAACCCTGAAAAAAGGTTTATTAATAAGCTAATTAAAGGTGCCAAATGTAAGGCATTTAATCTTGGAACAACCTATTTTTCCCTTTGCTCACTTGTTCCTAAGAGCCGATCATGAATCTTGCCTGAATGTATATTTTAACGCAGCAAGTGCAGTCAAGGATTTATTAGCTTGAGAAATCAATATGGCAACTGAGCCTCTTAAAATATTATTCCATCTATTGTACTTATTTCAGTTTCCATGCAGAAAGGAATGACCATTGCCACCTCATCGACTTTCCTAGACTTTGTACTGGGAAAACAGTATGGTGCGAAGCTGCTGATGGTCCCCATGCCCGTATTTCCCCCCATTAGCAATCACCAGTGTGGTACAAATGCATGGATATGCCATGATCTAGCCTGTTCTGTGAGGCTCTCTCAACACATAATCTGAAACACTGCTTTTACTCTTGGGCCTTATAATATTAATGAACCAAAACTGAAGGCATGAGCTGCTCTATGTTCACAGAAAAGGGAAGCAAGATACATGGAACTGAAGCAATTTGCCCATCATCACACATGGGCTCTAAGGCAAAGACAAAACCTGCATGCAGGCTGCTAACCCTACCCATGTCCTCAGCCTGGCACACCATCCACCAGGTCTGGACTCAGCATTACAGACCTACACTGGCAACTCTCTGACACAAAGCCATCACACCTGCAGACTACCACCAGCCAGGCTTTGGCAGGACACCCTGGGGAGAAGGTGTGGGAAGCCTCTCCCTTTCTTTCATGCCAGCTTCCCACACCTCCTGACTGGGAGGCCTGCTCATGCCTGCTTCAGCAAGGGCTTGGGCTGTGACACTTAAAATGAAAGACCAAAATCTGCAGGTTTTAAGTTCTGTCTGACTCTCTTTTGTTTTGGAGGCCACATTGCCTCATACACACAATAAACAGTCAGCTTTCATATTTTATCTACATTGCACTTTTTCCAAACCAGGCAGATTTCTTATCCAGTACTCAAAGTTAGCAAAAATAACAAATGCCAACCACAACATTATGAGACATTTTAACTATTTTGACTAAAATGCTGTGCCTTTTTGACCAACATTTCAGCAGTGCTAGGCACATCTTTTTCCTCTTCACATGACACACGACGACTATGTGCCTCCAGGAAAATGCACTTCATGCATATGAACGTGCTGTTGAGTTTGCTGGGACATGCACACACACAAACAGAGAGAAAAGTGTATCCTTAGTTCAATCTAAAATGCTTGTTTCAGCAAACCAGTTTCCTTCCTCCTCCTTTGTTAGGTCAGGGTAAAAATATAACTCTGGCTTTTCTCACAAAACAGAATTGTGTTGTTACTGTTTATTAAACTTCCTCTATTTTTTTCCTGATCTCTACAATGATCAAGGCTGTCTAGAAATCCAATCTGCTGTCTAATCTATCACAGTTATCTTCATGCATTCTCTTTTCTCCATGATGCCTCAATGTACACAAACATATACTCCCTTATCTAGACGCAGCCCAAAAGCTGGGTCTGTGCCAAATTGTAACATGGCCTCCCAAATTCCCTGAGCACCACTCTGTCTGGCTAACCACAGCAACACCAGGGATGATAAACTAACTCATGAAAATAGAAAAAAGCCTTGGTCACTGAAAACCCAGCAGGAAGGACCATGCTTTGGGAGCATGAGCACATGAATCCAACCTTGACTACTATCAACAAAAAATGAGCAAAAAACCAAGGGAAGAGCATGACTGCACTCACATATGCAGATGCAAATGCATTCATGAAAAAACACCGTCCTGCATGCTTAATTAATAGGATGTTTAAGAAAATACAGGTATTCCCAGGGTTAAACCCTGTGATAGAAAATATCTTCATGCTACAAATGAAAGGAAGTATGTTAATTGCTTGTGACAATCTCAAAGCATTGCAACAACATCTGGCCGTCTTCCTCATTAAAGTTCAGTTCCTAAAAAGCCAGGTCAAAAGAAGCAGTCTTGTGGAATCACTGCATAACTATTTTGGTACATGAAGTTGATACTTGTTTCAGGGCTTCTATGGCACATGTTTTCTACTCTGGACCTCACTGGTAGTCAGCTGTCTCAGATGTAATGGCTGCCCAGAAAAGGGAGATCTGCAGTTGATGCAGTGCATTCACCAACATGAATCTTCCCCATCCACATATAAATATTTACCCAAATGGCTAAAAACCTCAGCCCAAAATCTACAGTGACATCTAAAATGATGCTGTGATGAATGCACTGTGATTCAGAATGCACTGCATGTGGTCATTTTTCTTGCCCATTTGCAAATGTTGTAGAAGAAAATGCTTCTCTCTGAGAGAAAACAACTTCAATTACATGTTCCCTATTACAGAAAGGTGGAAATTATCTTCTTTTCAGAAGGTAGAATTAGCCCAATTTGAAATTGAAAAGCAGCCAGAAACATCTTTCAATGATACTTACTTTCCCTTTCATTTTTTATTTCTTGTTCATCTCCAGAAAGTTAGCACATTCCTTTCACTTCACTCACCAAAACTGATCATCAGTTAAATAGCAGTACAGCACATTTCTTATTCAAAAGCCTCTCAAGGACCATACTTTTTCATTCAAGTTATTGACTGTCCAAAAACATCACAAACTTTCAGACCAAAAAATCCAGTGCGGTGCCACATAGGATCATAGCATCAACTAGGTTGGAAAAGACCTTTAAGATATCAAGTCCAGACACCTCTCATAAGTCACGCTCCCAAGAAATACCAAGATTGCCTGCAGCTGTAATTCAGTTTATAATTAAGGCCAACTGATCTCTCTTACAGAGGAGAGACACCGGAAAAAAAA